AAGTTAAGGGCAAGATTCTTGCCAAGAGAATCAATGTGCGTATTGAGCATATTAAACATTCTAAGAGGAGAGATAGCTTCCTAAAACGTGTGAAGGAAAATGACCAGAAAAAGAAAGAAGCCAAAGAGAAAGGGACCTGGGTTCAACTAAAGTGCCAGCCTGCTCCACCAAGAGAAGCACACTTTGTGAGAACCAATGGAAAGGAGCCTGAGCTACTGGAACTATTCCCTATGAATTCATGACATGATGGGTGTTAAAAATAAATGAATCTGTGGTCTATAAACATGTTTGCCTTAATTGAGTAGAATTACGTTCCCTCCCCAAAGCTAATTTTTATTGGGCTCTAATTCATTTTGTAGTATCTTTATTCAAATTTAGTATTTTTTCACCTGAAAGATGTTAGGTGGTTTGGTTTATACAGCAAATAAAACTCAGTTGGTTAGAATAAATAAATAAACAAATAAATAAATAAATGTAAAAGGATTGAAATCAGACTAAATATAATCTCTGAACAGTCGAAAAGGAAATAAAAGACTAAGGTTTATATGACTAAAACAGAGAACAGAAAAAGTATAGGAAAAATTTACAAAACCAAAAGTTGGTTCTTCCAAAAGATCAGTAAAATTGACAAACCTTTGATGGGACTGACCAAGAAAATAAGAGAGAAGTCTCAAATCACTAAATTCAGGGACAAAAGAGGGGTCATTACTACTAACCTCAAAGAAATTGAAAGAAGTAATGTGAAATATGATGAACAATTATGTACCAATAAATTAGACGCCTTAGATGAAATGATAAAATTCCTCAAACACATGAACTACCAAAACTGACTCAAGAAGAAACAGAAAATCCACACAGACTATATTAAGTAAATAGATTGAGGTAGTATTCAAAAACTTCCCACAAATAAAGCCCAGGACCAGGGGCCGGTGGTGGCGTGGTGGTTAAGGGCACTGGACTCCCACATGGCCAACCATAATTCAAGTCATGGGACCTGGCAGCTTGCTCTCTCCCTCTCTCTCTATCTTGTATGCGCTCTTTCTCTCACTTGCTCTGTCACTCTCTGGTCTACTGAAAGAAAGAAAGAAAGAGGACCAGCAAGTGGCATGGTGGTTAAGGCACTGGACACTCCCACATGGCCAACTATGGTTCAAGTCCCAGACCTGGTGGCTTGCTTTTTCACTTTCCCTCTGTCTCTCTCTCTGTGACTCTCTCTGGTCCAATTAAAATAAATGAATGAATAAATAAAATAATTTTTAAAAGAAGAAAGAAAGAAGGAAAGGAAGGAAAGAAAAGAAAGAAAGGAAGGGAGAAATAAAGTAAGTTAAATAAAATAATTCTTTGGAAAAAAAGGAAGCCAAGGACCAGATGCTAGTGGTGAATTCTACTAAATATTTATAGAAAAATTAGTATCAGTCTTTTAAAACTCTTCAAAGTTGGGACCAGCAGATGGCAAAATGATTACATGGCTGGATTCCTATGTAATTGACTGCAGTTCCAGTCCTGGACCCAGAGGTTTGAAACTCACGCCAGGCATGTGTGCATGCATGCCCAAAATTCTGAGAGAAAATGGAGAAGTGACTGTGGTATGGTCGTTCATGCCGGGGGGTGATTTCTCACTTTCTGTCTCTCTGACTCTCCTGTGAGCACACATGCCATACAGCAAAAATCTCTTTTGAAAAAAAAAAAACAACAGCAACAAAAAAACTCTTTCAAGTAATAGGTAGAGAATAGTTCCTAATTTTTAAGGCCAGTATTCACATTATAATGACTCAAAGGTAGAAAAAGCTATCAGAAGAAAAAAACTAGTAGAGGGACCAGCAGATGGCGTGGTGGTTAAGGCACTGGACACTCCCACATGGCCAACCAGGGTTTGAGTCCTGAATCTGGTGGCTTGCTTTCTCACTTCCTCTCTCTCTCACCCTCTGTCTCTCTCTGGTCAATTTAAAAAATAAATGAATGAATAAATAAAAAACAAAGTAAATAATTTTAAAAAGCTAGTAGAACAACAACAACAAAAAATGAAGGTACACATCATAATGTAAGGGTTTTTTTGGTTAAAAATAATGTATATGGTAATATTATTGATTTGATCATCATGTACTACATGCATCCTTTGAAAAACTATACTGTACACCATAAAGATGTACAACAATTAAATGGAAAACAGAAATTATAAAATAAAAAAAGGAAACTTTAGACTAGTATCTCTTATGGATATGCACACACTTAGGCAGTGGTGAATGTTGCAAAACTGTGAATATACTAAAAACCAGTGAATAGAATACTGTCAATAGGTAACTATTACGGTATTTAAAGTGTCTCAATAAAGGCATTAAGAAAAAAAATAAAAGGATCTCTCTAGTGAGGAATTGTAGACACAGAAAGAATTCCTAACACTTACTAGTACTTGGGAGGTTTACAGATAAAGTTGGGCAAGAATTAAGCAAGACTGGGGGTGGTAGGGTGAGGGAGGAAGCTATTTTGGAGATAATACATGTTTTTACCCTTTAGAGAAGGAACAGCTGTTAGATAAGAGTGGGAGGCAATAGGAATGGAGAAATTCATTCCACGTGGTATTTTCAAAACATCTGGTTGTCAACACAAAATTCTTTGGAAGTCACTTCTCTAAGCTGAGTTGGCATCATTGGTCTGTGGCAGATTAACTTGTTCTGAATTAATAAGGCCAGATGTGCAGAAAACCAAGAACAACCTGACCCAACTGTATGATAAGGGCAGAAGGGCTTCATGTTTTCCGCAGATAAATCTGTATGTTCAGTAACCCACTCCCACAAACAATGGTGCTCTTAGGACCACAGAGCAGATGGTTCTGAGCTCTGCTTTTAGCATTAGGCCTTCCTGGTCTTAATTCCGCTTCTGCCCCTCATAAGCTGTGTGAACATCAGGAGCCTACTTTGCCAGTGTTTTTCTTTTTTTTTAATTTTAAAAATTTATTATTATTGTTAATTTTATTTTTTTAAGAGAGATTTTTGCTAGAGGGCGCTTGCCAGAGAGAGAGAAAGTGAGAAACCATTTTCTGGGTGGCGGATGGGCACACTGCAATCCCTTTTCCTCCATTCTCCTCTTGGGATTTTGGGCCAGGCCACCAGGTCTGGGACTTGAACAACGGTCACCCCTGTGGGAGTTCAGCACCCCAATCACCATGTCATCTGTGAGCTCCAATTTTTAGTTTGCTAGGGGGCACATGTGCTTACCACAGGGACACAGAGAGAGAGAGGAAAAGTGGGAAAGCAAGCCACCAGGTTGGTCTGGGACGTGAACCAAAGTCCGCCATGTGGGAGACCAGCACCTTAATCACCACACGGCCTGCTGGCCCACTGATGTGGTGGTGTGCTTTAAGTAAGGTAATATCTGCAAAGTCTCCAGCCCATTGTGGATGCTCTGTAGATGGCAGTGTCTGTGCCTCTGTTTCTATTTTAATTAAATGAACACTGAAGAACTGAACTCACATCAGGCAAAGTATTTTGTTAAGACAACCGACCCATATTTATTATGGAAATATTTCACACCAATTTTAGGTAGTTAAAAAATGTCTGAAGACTCTAATACTTGTCATCCTCAGGTCTTCCTGGCAGATGCTAGCTTAGGTGCTACATTTAATAATGTAGGGGACCCATCTTGTTCTGGTCCATCTGTCCTACATGGCCACTGCCCCTGGAGGAGCCATAGTCCACACGACCAGCCCTCATTTAGGGACTGCTTTCATATCTTAAGAATGAATTCTCAGGACCAGCAGATGGTATAATGGCTATGTCACTGGACTCCCACTTAGTCAAATATGGTTCCAGTCCTGGACCTGGTGGCTTAAACTCACACCATGTATGTGTGTGCCCAAGATCCCGAGAGGAGAATGGAGAAGAGATTGAGGCGTGGCCATCTCCCTGGGGGGGGGGTGATTTCTCGCTTTCTGTCTCTTTGTCTCTCTCTGTCTTTCCAGTGAGCAAAAAACTATAGCAAAAACCTCTCCAAAAAAGAACGAATTCTCCTGGGACCAGGAGGTGGTGTTGTGATAATACGACTAGACTCATGTGGAAAAGTTCCTGGGTTCATGTCCTAGGACCTTCTTAAGCACGCAAGGTGCCCACCAGCACTGTCCATGATCCAGGACTGACTGAGACTGGGGAGGATCATATGTGAGGAACATATTGAGGGCCTCTGTCCCTCTCTCTTTCCTCACTCTGTTTTTCTCACTAATAGAGGAAATAAATAAACTTAAATAAACAACAATAACAAAAATTAATTCTCCCTGGTCTCATGACACACTGGAAACACATCTCTCTTCTGGTTGGGCCTAGAACTCACACAGGAAGGAAGCAGCATGCCAGAACAGGGCACTCGAAGGGCACATGCACAGTGGACACTGGCGGGAGATGAGGGGATTGTGAACACAGGTGGAGACATGCCTCAGCACCCATCCTTGGAAGAAAGAAAAGTCAGGTGGACCCACAGGGCACCCAGCGATGACTTCCCTCTTCAACCCGGAGGCTTACCTGAATGCTGCAATTCCTGAATGGAGAATATCCATCAAAACCTGGGACCCAGGAGATCAGGATGCTGTGTGCGGTTCTGCTGTGGACACTGACTTCAGCAGGCGGGGCGGGAAGGGCTACGTCAAAACAAAGACGCGTACATTCAAGCACATTATAAAGCACAGGACGTCATGGCATCCGAACAGGTGCACGAATACCAAGCTTACTTCGTTTCTTGAGATGAGCAAAAGGAAACACACGCTTTCTAGAGTAGACACCCTATGCCTGGGCAACCTAGCCTGAAGACTAGCCTCCCTGGAACACTGTTAGATAGGTAGTCTTAGAGTCCTCATGTGTCTATGAGGAAACCGAGGATGAGAGAAGTTAAAACCTTGCCCAAGGTCACAGAGAGATTATTAGCAATAGAAAAAAAGACTTAAACTTGAGTCTGCCTGACCGTAGAGCTTGTGTCCCCTAACAGGACACTGAGACCTATTGCAAGGGATGAGCAACAGATGGACCTGTGCACCAGCAGCAGGGACTGGGGAGTCTAGTTTACCACTTAAAAAGCCATGTGGCCCTGGCACAGTTCTCTGCCCTCTGTAAACGCAGTTCCCACTTCTATAGACGGGATAGTAACAGCGCTGCTCTATGGAGCTGTGGTGGGGAATAAATGAGGTAGCACACGAATGAGGCCTGGGGCAGGGTAGTGGTGGAGGTGATGTCGGAATGGGCATGAGGTGTGGCAAAGGTAAGCTGGATGCCTTTAAGAGTGCTCTGGACACCACGTTCGGGAGTTGCTGCTTTTACTAGTAGACGCACAGTATGACAAGGAGGGAAGAATCAGCATGTTATCTAACTCACTCCCCTCTGGATTATGCAGAACACAGGGCACACATGCATTCATGCCCAAAATCCCCAGAGGAGAATGAAAGAGAGGGGACTGTCATATGGCCATCCCCCAAGGGGTGATTTCTTACTTTCTGTCTCTCCGTCTCTCTCTGTCTGTGCGGTGAGCGCACGCGCCCTATAGCAAAAACTTCTTAAAAAAAAAAAAATTCTGCCTTTCTAGATCAAGATTTGACCACAGGGGACCAGCAGGTGGCATGGTGGTTAAGGCGCTGGACACTTCCACATGGCCAACCATGATTCAAGTCCTGGACCTGGTGGCTGGTTTTCTCACTTTCCCCTTCTCTCTCTTTTTCTCCGTGTCTCTCTGGTCAAATTAAAATAAATTAATAAAAAAAATAAAAAATTTAACAAAATAATTCTTAAAAAAATTTTGACCACAAACATCAAAATAACAACATATTAGAAAAAAGGAGTCTCAGCTGTTTTGACATAAATTTCAGAATAAATCAAAGTCAAAAACTTAAGTTTTGGAAATAGGATTTATGTTTTTTTTAAATCTTAACTAACATACTGTATGAAGCATAAAATTTGAGAAGTGCTTCTCATTTTGTACATTTTTAAATTTTAAGAAATTTACACTTTATAAAAATGTCTTTATAAATTTACACCCACTCATGAATTTCTGAAATTCTCGACATAACTTTTGAAAATGGTAATAATGCGATTTGTAACAAAGGAAGGAAGTTATACACTTCCTCTAGTAATAGCTTTCAGTTTGCTCATTTCTTTATTATTCCAATGAACTTTTAGGCAATGTCCTTTCATAGCCTTCATTCAGTGGGTTTCCTGAAACTAAAATCAGCATCATATTTTGAGTATAACTTTTTTGTAGCCTTGAATCACCTTCAGTATAGACTCAACTTTTTCAAACATATTTATTTATTTTTCATTGTATTAATATTATTATCATTATTCTTCAATTTTGACCAGAGAGAGATAGAAGATGCTGGGAGAATGAGAAAGCAAGCCACCAGGTCCAGCACTTGAACCATGGTCAGCCATGTGGGAGTCCAGCACCTCAAACACCACACCACCTGCTGGCCCCTAGGCCCCTACTTTTAATTCATTATTAAATATGTTTTTTTTCTTACACATTGTTTCTCTAAGGATAAGATGAAATGAATAGGAACCCAATATTTGCTTTTTAATATTTAAATTAAGATAAAATAGTAAAATATCAAATTTACTTGAATTCTATGAGAAAGTAAGGAAAATTATTTGAAAAGAGATAAAAAGTATTGGAGCCAGCAGGTAGCATAGTGGTTAAGGCTGGACTCCCACATGGCTGATTACAGTTTGAGTCCTAGTCCTGGAGGGTTGAAACTCATGCTGGGCACTTGAGCGTGCATGCCCAAAATCCTGAGAGGAGAATGGAGGAGAAGAGATTGAGGCATGGCCATCCCCCTGGAGGGTGATTTCTCACTTTCTCCCTTTCTGTCTCTCTTTATTTATCTCTTGACAAGCACATATGCCCTATATAGTAAAAAATCTCTCTCTCTTAAAAAAAAATACGTAAATAAAGACAGGCAGTATTTAAATGCAGGTTTTCCTTTTCTTTCAAGTTTTGATACCTTTTATCACAACAGGGGAGAACAAGGTAGACAGACTGGGATGGAATGTCTGCACTAGACTGGGGGATCCCAAACATGTGCCTTTAGTCCACTTATGATAATTCATTTCCAAGCAAGCTCAGCCATCATGAAACCCCAGTTCAAAGGAAGTGGAAAAAGGAGAAAGAGGGACAGGAGCCTTGGGACCCTGCAGAAGACTGACGGGGACTTCTCTCTTCCTGAGTCAGTAGCTGGCCTGGAAAGTTCAGAGCCCAGCCCTAGAGCAATGTGACAAGCTAGCCCTACCCTCAGGACTCTTCATGGAGATTAGTTCAAGGTGGAAGAGGGAAAATAAAAACAGGAGCTGACATGATCAAGGGTAAACATTTGAACTCCTTTACTTCTTTGACTAAACAGAATTAAATTCGCTAATGTTTTTTAAAGACTGAGGCGCCAGCCAGCCACTGTAGTGAGTGCTTTTTCTTGTAGTAAACCATTCAGCCTCAACAACAGGTAGACTTGGTAATTATCCTCATTTTTCAGAGGTGAACACTGAAACCAAAGGTTTCAGAGGTGAAGGGAGTTGTCCAAGGTCACAGTGAAAGTCAGTGAGAGAGGTAGCACTTGAGCCTGGAAATCTGGATGCAGAGCTCACGCCGCCTCCCGCCAGCTCCCAGAACACACAGAGACCTGGCCTGCAGCTTACCTTTGATGTTGATCTGCACGCCTTTGGAGACCGTCAGCCCTTTGTCATTGTGGGCCTCACAGCTGAAGACTGCTGTCTCGGTCAGACCTGGAGTGGAAGGAGACCGGTGAGATCAGCAGCAGAGAAACAGGCTGGGTTCACCAGAATCCTACGGTTTAATAGACTTCTTTTTCTTTTGCCATAGCTTCAAGCTATAAATGCAGTTAATTTAAAAGGTGTGCTTCCTACAGCAAAACAAACCTGGAATAAATCCTAAGCAACAGCAAGGCAGCCTAGGCCCTTAAAAGGCAGCTGTTGCATTTATTAATTTATAAATAAGCTTATATCAGTGAACAACTCTGTAGAATTCATTTTTCCATAATGCAATAATATAGGAATGATAAGAACAATGTGGAATTTAAAATTTTTGAAAAATATTGCTCAGTTACTTTTTTCTAACAGTGATTTAATCTGCATATATTTCTCTCTTCTCCCCTCGAAAAAGGCTGCTGTTTTCATTCATTCGAAATCTCAATGGTAGAACCTTAAGTAATAAAGCACCATGGAGAGGGTGGGGAGGCAGCAGGTGGCACGGTGACGCCCACATGGCCAACTGTGGTTTGAGTCCCAGACCTGGCGGCTTGAAAATCATGCTGAGTGCATGTATGTGTGTGCCCAAAACCCCAGAAGGGACTGTGACATGGCTATCTTTCTGGGGGTGAATTCTCACTTTCTCTCTTACTTTCTCTGTCTGTCTGTCTGTCCCTCTGGTGAGTATGTACACCCTATGGCAAAAAGAAAACAACAACAACAACAAAAACCTTAAAAAAATAAAAGGAGCATCAGAGAGACTTAAATTCCTGCAAAGAGGTATGGGCACAGTTGGGAATACCAAATAAGAGTGAGCGCTGAGGCCTTCCTGATACCCTGCTGCCTAGCTCCCACCATACTCTGTCAGTATGTTACAGACATTTCAGATACCAGATAGACCAGGATAAAAGCCACCGTTTAAAGAATTCAGATGGCCTGCTGTGATGAATCCTTGCTTAATAGTAAACACTGGTCAATTCATTATATAAATGCAGGGCATTTATACTCAAAGAGAAAATACTAGTGTTAAGTGAAGAAAAATTCATTTCAGAGGTCCAAAGACATCTTAGGGAAAAAAAATACTTGATTCACTCATTTTAAATAGTAAGGAAGAGAGGTTACCCAGACCTTGGTTTCTAATATCATCCTCCAATAGCACAGGGCTCCTTAGACAAATGGCTGATTCACAGCCTGGGACAGAGACAGAAAAGACAAGCCTGGAGTGTAATATATCAAGATACAGTAAAACACACACACACACACACACACACACACACACACACACGATGCAGACAGAAGAGCCAACTGAAAGAGTTTCCGATGACCAAAGCTGGAGCGAGTGAGCAAGAAAATAAAAAAGCATTGGATTACAACCCAAAGTAAAAAAATAAATATCCATGATCTGTATTGATAACTGATGTAAATAAATGACTAGGCCAATAAGGGACAAATGGACAATTCTCCCATGCATTAGAATTCCAGATATTTATGTGGATACTCTAATTCCAGAAGACGGAGCATACTCCCCATTCCTCAGGGCTGTACATGGTAATTTTCTTCCAAAAAGCACAGCATGAAAAAAAGGGAAAAAGAAAAGCTTTCGGGAGGAGAAAGTGGTAAACACTATCTTGGCCAGATGACCAAGGTTCACACCAATAGAGGTAAGTCATGTTCGTAGAGGGTACCCTGACTTTGATGCGATGAAAATGGCCCCTCCACTCATGGCCCTTCTTCCCACAAAACTTATCATCCCAGTCTAATCATGGGAAAAGATGACACTGATCCAAATGGTAGAGCATTCTACAAAACACCTGGCCAGTAATCCTCAAAACTATCAAGGTCAGTAAAAACTAGGGAAGTGTAAGAAATGGTCATAACTGGGATTAGCAGGTGGCGTGGTGGTTAAGGCGCTAGACACTCCCACATGGCCGACCATGGTTCAAATCCTGGACCTGGTGGCTTGCTTTCTCACTTTCTCTCTCTCTGTCTCTGTCTCTCTCTGGTCAAATTAAAAAAAAAAAAGAATAAATAAATGAAATTAAATAAGTAATTCTTAAAAAAAAAAAAAAGAAAAAAAAAGAAATGGTCATAACCAAGAGGAGCCCAAGGACACACAGATGGCTAAGCATAACTGGGTATGCTGGGTGAGATCCCGGGACAGGAAAAGGGCACCAGGGAACTTAAGAAAATCTGAATAAAGTATGGACTTTAGTTAATAAGATCAGTATTGGTTCAGAGACTGTAACAGATGTACCACGCTAACGTAAAATATTAGTAATAGTGGATGGAGGAGCCGAATGGTTAGTAATGCAACTGGCCCTACATGGGAGGGTCTTGGGTTCACATCCTGAGGGCTCCCCTTCCACGCCACGGGCACTCACGTGATCTGGGCTGGCTGAAGCTGGGGGTGGACTGTAGTACTTTGCCTTTCTCTCTCTCTCTCAGAACATTTTTTAAAAACTTAAAAGAAATAACAGGAGAAAGTGGAGATGGGGTTTTAGAAATTCTCTATTGTCACAGTTTTTCTATAAATCAAAAACTATTCTAAAACTAAATAGATTATTTTTTAAAGTATGGGTATATAAGGAATCTTCAAAAATATTCATGGGAAATGTATATTACATACATAAAAAAAAGCCACTATGCATGGATTTCAAAATGTTTTTGGACAAAAATGAATTCATCCCTTAATTCCATTATAATACAAATGTTTGGGGGGTTTTTTTGTTTCTTTTGTTTGTTTGTTTGTTTGTTTTGTTTTGTTTTGCTAGCGGGCATGTGTGCTCACCAGAGACGAGAAAGCATCTCCCGTGAGGAGATATCATCCTTTCTCCTCCAGCCCTTCTTCCAAGATTTTGGGCACACACACCTAGTGTGTTTTTCAAGCTTCCAGGTCCAGGGCTTGAACTGCAGTGCCTGCCATGTGGGATCTGGCTGTCTTAACCACCAGACCATGGAGTTGGCCCTTCACAAACTCTTTGACATCCCGTCATAGATACTATTTAGCTGAATCTGGAAACTTCTATATCGCTGGCACACAGTAATATCATGACTAGAAAAAAAGAGGTCAAATTGCTGAAAATACACTACCTTATTAGAAAAGTTTATTTTGCTTTTTCCTGTCTGTCTACTTCTATAGGAAATTTCCATCTGGTATTTTCAAATTCAAAGCTTATCACTAATGGAGTAATTAAATAATCGACAAATGAAAGGGGAAAAAAATTGTGGAGAGATGTGCAGTGGCCAGCAGCCACAGAAAGGCCGTTCTGTGGTGGGCACCTGAGTGATCGGGGCCCCGAGGCTGGGGCCGGGTGGCCACTACATGGCAGAGGATCGCATGTGGTAGAAGTCATAAGAAAACTGCATGTTTCTGATCCCACTTATGTTAGTCTTCTGAGGAGTTAAATGTGAACCGTCCCCTCCCCCAAAATCAGTGCTGGTAGGTTTTTGAGATTTTTCTTCCAGATAGAAAGATGTCTGAATTCTTCCTTCCTTCCTTCCTTCCTTCCTTCCTGTCTTTTTTTTTTTTTCCAGATTTTTTGCTATAAAGTACCTTATGGTAGCTGTTGAGACAGAGACAGTCAGTGAGAGGGAAAGTGAGATATCACACCCCCCCCCCAAGGCAGATGGCAACACCGCAATCCCTTTTCCGTCATTTTCCTCCTGGAAGCTTGGGCACACACCCACATGTGCCTGGCGTGAGTTTCAAGCCACCTGGTCTGGGACTGGAATGGCAATTAGCCATGTGGGAATCCAGTGCCTCAACCACCACGCCACCTGATGGCCTGTTTGAGTTTTCTTGACTAGACACAGCCTGACCAGAGAAAAACAAACTGATGCAGCTCTGTCCTGATTCTACGGTGACCTTTCATTTCTTCAAAATATTATTAGGCCTTGAATGTGTCAGATACTTCAGTGCATTTTAATCTTCTAGGAATAGGAATACAGCCTTCAGACTGGAAGAAAATTCTAAATCGGATTGTTTAATTAAATCCTCTTGAATGCACCAGTTTGTGGCACAGTGTTTAAAGCAGCTGAATTCCAAATGGTCAACTTTATGGTTTCTGTCCTGGACCTGGTCGCTCGAGAAACACACTGCGTGTGTGTGTGTGTGTGTGCCCAGAAGGAAGAAATAGAGGAAAAGGGATTGTGGCATGCCCACTCTCCATTGGGGATATTTTCTAACTCTCCTTTCTTTCTTCACTGAGTGCACAAGCCTTCTTGCAAAAATTAAAAAACAAACAAACAAAACAAAACACCCTTTTGACAACTTAAAGTGTCAAAAAAGTGGGTCAGGGGCCAGCAGTTGGGGTAATGACTACGTCGCTCTACTCCCATGTAGTCAACTGTGGTTTGAGTCCCTGGCCCGATGGCTTAAACTCATGCCAGGCACGTGTGCATGTGTGCCCAAGATCCCAAGAGAGAATGGAGGAGAAGGGATTGTGGTCAGCCATGAGGGAATCAGCGCCCTTAACCACCGCACCACCTGCCGGCACCCTCATCATGACTCTTCTATTTCCCCACCTCTACCCAAGAATTTTATCCTAATGGCATACAGTGTGTATTTGATAGTTTTTGATTAATCACTGCATGCCACTTGTTGGCAACAAAAATACACATACACATGGAAGTGTAAAACATGTTCTTCTGAATAAATTATATTTATTATTAGGATACAACTGACTGAAGCAACATAAGTAAATATTGAACATAAATATAATTTTATTGGATGGCATCTCTTTGCTGGACACAATTTGGAATTTCCTGTGTATGTGGTATCTGGATATTTCTTACTCCCAAGATAACATGCCACAGCGGTTGTTCTCAAAGTGTGGTCCAGAGCCTCCTGTGGATTCTAGATCTCCTTTCAGGAGTTCTCAAAGCAAAAACCATTTTCATTATAATAATATTTGCCTTTTTCACTCTAGCTAGCTCAGGAATGTATGATGGAATTTTCTAGAAGGATTTTTCTGGAAGCTGTGTGACATGTGATGATGTCATACCTCTATCAGCCAATG